CGACTAAACATTCAGTCGTCTGGTCAACGCAGAGGTTATTTTTGCAATTGACTTTGAAATTAGTTAGTTGGGACGACTGAAATATCAGTCGTCTGGGTATGTTTGATAAAAAAAATCCAGACGACTGAAATTTCAGTCGTCGAAGGTTAGTTTTGCATTTGACTAGAATATTTCAGAAGTTTGACTTTTTAGGACGACTGAAATTTCAGTCGTCTGCGAAAAAATGAAATATCAATTTTTTATTGAAATTGGATGACTTACATTTCAGTCGTCGTAGGTTAGTTTTGCAATTGCGAAAACAAACTTCGATATATAAAAAAATCTAGACGACTGAAATTTCAGTCGTCCCTGAGACGACTTATAATTCAGTCGTCTAGAATAAACGAGGTTTGACCAGAATCTCGGAATAAAATCCTGGACGATTGAATTGTAAGTCGTCTTAAGGACGAGTGAAATTTCAGTCGTCTAGAAAGTTAAAGTTTTTTTTCACAATTGCAAAACTAACCTATTGTAAGTCGTGTGTTTCAATAAAAAATTGATATTTCAGTTTTTTCGCAGACGACTGAAATTTCAGTCGTCCTAAAAAGTCAAAATTCTGAAATATCAGTCGTCTAGATTCTTAAGATATTTTTTTGTAGCCAAAATAAAGCAGTCGTCTGGACGAACATATCGCAAAAAATAACTCGATTTCATACCTTCAATTGGTGAGAGCACTTTCTTTGACTATATGAACCCTAGAAAATGTAGAATCAAGCACTCAGGAGCTCAAACAAAGGTAATCCACCTTGAATCTTTAATTTCTTTGACTATATGAACCCTAAAAAATGTAGAATCAAAATCTTGGGTTTNGAGAGATATGTGTTGTAATGTGTTGTTTAGTTCATGAGAATAGAGAAAGAAGAAGGGTAAATGGAATTTGGAGGCATTAAGAGCTTCAAAATTGGTTGTTCATGGTTGTTGGAGTATTGATGACAATGGCAATCTTGTAATTACTTGAAGATGATGAGGGTGAGAGAGTAAATATGTTATTTTCGAAAAAAAAAATAAATAAATTGATGGCATTTTCGTGAATTATATGAACTTGTGGGGTGAATTAAAAAAGGAGGTTAGTTTTGTGGTTGACTTCAAGTTTCAGGTCAATTCTCCAAAAAGCCCAACGGAGTATCTCTGTGTGCATCACGGCTAAAGCTATTACATTGAGTAGGAATCGCACATAGGGGGCACATTTCATTAATTCTGCTGACTCTAATCAACGAACAGTTTAGAAGAAAAAACCGCTTGAATGTGATCTATTTAACGAACTCTGGGGTGATATTTCAATATTTAAAAGATGTAGGGATGTAGTTTATAATGATTAATAAATGGAGGGGTATCTATGCAAAGGCGGAAAATTATTTATATAGGTATTAAACTGCTAAAACTAGGGGTGGGCACAATTACTTGCTACTCGGCTTGTACTCGCTACTTATTCGTACTTGGCTCTTAAAGTTGAGTACTCGTTTTATTCAAGTCGAGTATCAAGTCGTTTATTTCAATTACTTGCAAGTACAAGACAAGTATCAAGTACTAAAATAAAAGTAACTACTTGGCGTTGTTGGCTTGTTACTCGTGATTTATTACTTGATTTATTATCCTTTTTTTACTTTTAGACATAAAAATCTCTAAATTATAATCAAATTACTTGTTTCTAAAATAAATGAACTAAAAATATATATAATAGAAATATTTTAGAGTTTTCTTTTAATTTTATATTTATCATATATCGATTTAAAACATATGAAAGTAAATAAATATTCTTTATTAAAAATTATTTAAATTATAATTATAACTAACTAAATATTTTTTAAAATTCATATACAAGGTTTAAGTAGCAAAAACTAATAAACTTTTATTAGATAAATTAGTTCAGAAGCAACAAGTAGTAAAATAGAGCAAGTACTTGCAAGTATATGATTTTTTAGCAAGTACTTGAAAGTACAAGTACTCGTTTATAATAAATCAAGTACAAGTCCAAAATTTTATTACTCGAACAAGCCAAGCCAGGTACCGAGTAGGTCAAAAATGACAAGTACTTAGCTTGTGCCCACCCCTAGCTAAAACCCTAGGAGACAGCTGAACTCATCATCTTATTCGTTCGTCACTGTAGAATAGAATCGTAAGGTAGGCAAAAATGGTTCGCAGCATAAACCCTAAGAAGGCGAAGAGAAAGAACAAGGTTCGAACTTTGAGTTCCAAACTCGCTCAATTTTTTAATCTGATTTGTCTCTCAAATCAAAAACCTAAATAGCGTGAATTTTGAATGTTTGAAATTTGACAGAAGAAGGGAGAAGCGTCTTCTTCCTCGGTACCATCGATGCCAACTAGGGTTTGGCAGCCAGGTGTCGATAAGCTCGAAGAAGGAGAAGAACTTCAGTGCGACCCTTCTGCTTATAATTCTCTTCATGGCTTCCATGTTGGTTGGCCCTGTTTGAGGTAAAAAAAAGTTTGATACTTTAGGGTTTTAGCAAAGATATTGTGTATGCACATGTTTTTACAAAGGCATCATCTGAATCATAAAGTTAAGAACTTTACTGTTTTTTATTTAATGGTTTGTATTTCCTTTTGTTCAGTTTTGACATTTTAGGTGATAAGTTGGGTTTGAATCGAACTGAGTTTCCTCATACGTTGTATATGGTGGCTGGGACTCAGGTGAGTCTTTGTACCTTTATATCTTCTAATGTGTTTTTGCTTCTAGAGTCTTGTGTTTAATTGTTGTGTGTATCCATTTAGGCCGAGAAAGCACCTTTGAACTCCATTGGATTATTTAAAATCAGCAACGTATCTGGAAAGAGACGTGATGTTGTGCCAAAGACGCTAGTGAATGGTGATGATGATATGGAGGATGATGAAGATGAGGAGAGTGATAGCGATGAGGAAAGTGAAGATGGAGCTTCCACTACTCCAATTATTCAGGTAATTATTCTTTCTCTCTAACTATTATGTTATTCACCTAGTTGTCACTGAAGTAGAGAGATTCATCATCATGGTTCATACTTTATCTCAAATGTTTTTGGATAAAACAGGTCCGCAGAGTTGCTCATCATGGATGTGTTAACCGCATTCGTGCAATGCCACAAAATCCTCATATCTGTGTCTCTTGGGCAGATTCTGCTCATGTACAGGTAAGAGAGTGTCCTTGTTGTTTCAGAAACTGGATATTTGATAAGCCATGAAGATATGTTGTTATCTGTTTCTCTTAGAAGCTGGTTTTTGTTGTTGTACTTGTGGGCAGGTGTGGGACATGAGCTCTCATCTTAATGCTTTAGCAGAGTCAGAGACAGAGGGTAAAGATGGAACTGCACCGGTTCTTAACCAAGCACCCTTAGTTAACTTTTCTGGCCACAAAGACGAAGGCTATGCTATAGATTGGAGTCCTGCAACAGCTGGAAGACTTCTTTCTGGTATAGTTTATCTCAGAAATTTCAACAATACTCAGATAGTTATTGTCAATGTGTATTTATTTTTTTCTCCGCTGGTTAGGGGACTGCATGAGTATGATTCATTTGTGGGAGCCAGCTTCTGGTTCATGGACTGTTGATCCTATTCCGTTAACAGGACACACCGCAAGTGTTGAAGATTTACAAGTAAAACCTGTTGCTTTACAGCTTAATTGTGTGTTAACTGTTATTGTCTTCTTTTGGCTTAATATTCTTTCATCTATTGCCAGTGGAGTCCAGCTGAAGCCAACGTGTTTGCATCGTGTTCTGTGGATGGGACCATTGCACTATGGGATGTCCGAGTTGGGAAGACGCCTGCATTATCTTTCAAAGCACATAACGCAGACGTGAATGTCATCTCATGGAACAGGTTCTCTTGCCACTTTTGATGTGCAACTTTTTTTTTTTTGGGTTTTATGTTACCTGAAAATTGGCTCATTCTTTATTTTTCCTCTTTCATGAAGGCTGGCTAGTTGTATGTTGGCTTCAGGGAGTGATGACGGGGCATTCTCTATCCATGATCTTAGAGTTATCAAGGTCCGTTGAATACCTTAGGTTTTATAATTTCCATATTATTATCTTAACAAGATTCTGATATGGTAGCATTTGAAACTTGAACTAGGAGGGAGATGCTAAGGTAGCACATTTTGAGTATCATAAGCATCCTATCACGTCGATTGAGTGGAGCGCTCATGAATCCTCAACACTTGCAGTCTCTTCCGGCGATAACCAGCTCACGTAAGCCACAAAGCCTTGTACAGAAACAAATATAAACTGTGTAATGATTTTTTGGCTTATCTGTTGAATATGCAGGATATGGGATTTGTCCTTAGAGAAGGATGAAGAAGAGGAAGCAGAGTTCAAAGCACAGACAAAGGAACAAGTCAACACACCTCAAGACTTGCCTCCTCAGCTTCTTTTCGTTCACCAGGTCTAACATCTTACTTTAACCTCTTTAGCTCGGTTATATTTAATTGATGTTTGTATGTCTGGAAATTTATCTGTTTTTCTTTTTGGTTGTTCTGGATAATCAGGGACAAAAGGACTTGAAGGAACTTCACTGGCACAACCAGATTCCAGGGATGGTCATCTCAACTGCTGCTGATGGTTTCAACATCTTGATGCCTTACAACATTCAGAACACCCTTCCTGATCTCGCTGCTTGAGAAGATTGTCTTTTGTCTAGTCTTTTGGTTTTGTACTGTCCTCTCTCTGTTTTCTACTTAAGAACTATACTATTTCACAACATTTTAATGTTTTCATAGCCAGTCGGTTGGTTTGAATTTGTGACAAAACGTGGAAGTAAGTTTTGAAAAAGCATTCTCTTTACTTTGAGTTTATTATTTCACAACTTTCAAACCTTCTATCATTGGTCTATTGATTCAATTATTCGTGAAACTGTCTGAGATGAAACAAAATATTGAGATTACTTTTCTGATTGATGTTCTGATTAGTTTTCATCATTCCTTATGCCAAACCGAATCCATCAGAAAGACTATCAAAAGGAACTTGGAAGTAAATAGTTAGATTAGGCTCGGGTTAGAGAACAGGGTTACTTAATACGACAACAAGAATAATCTAAACGTGAAGGTACATCTATGAGCCAACAGGCTTCCCGTTTAGTTTAGGGTAAGGATCTTGCTTGCTAAGAAGTAAGAACTACCATTTTGCTCTTGTGTGCAAAATAAACTTCACAAGGTTTTTGTTTTTTAATCAAGATCGTCATTTATACATTCCACCTGCAAATAGTATCAGAACTGTGAGTTGTAAAATTCATGCAGTAATTAAAAGCAATGAAACTTCGAAGAGACCTCGTCGAGATCCATATCTGTCTCTAGCCATCTAAGTGCTTTGGCATTCACTTCAAGCTTCAATTGGTAAGCTCTCGGTGGATCACTCAGCTTCTGCATGATATTAACTGAAACATTGATAACAAGAGTTGTTAAGTACTGTAATGTTAGCATGCTCAATGGAACGATAGATTTGTGTTTATATAAAATCTTCCTACATTTTTCTTCATGAGTCTCTGGTAGACTTGGTGCTCCGGCTTTTCCAAGACGATATTAAGTTGCTCACCAATGAACTACAACTAACAAGAGCATCTCTGTACCCTTGCCACAACTTTATTTTAACATGTCAGCTCTACAACTAACCTGTCACTGCTGAGCTGTAACACAGGTTCAATCCACTACAAACCACCTAAGCTCATTGCTCATGCACTAAGTCTAACACCAAGGACTTAATATTTGGAAAGTAGATAAGTACAATAAGATGTCAGTAGAAAAACATAATCTGATCTTCATGTTCTTGAAGAGCATGTCGGAGAATCCTGAGATCACCCTTTCTCAAAGCTTACAGAATCTTTTTGTAGAGAAGTTAGATTAATATAGATATAATATCACCGCTGATATAAAATAAGGCATATGATAGCATTGTATCAGCGTGAAAGATCTAGAAATGGTAAATGTCTTTGTCAATAGTTACATAAAGACTTAACAAAATGATATAGAACCAGAAAAGCTATTAGTGACTCACAACAGGAAAGTTCTCGTTGAAGACTTGTAATCTTCCTGTATAAAATACATGTATATAACCTTATTGCAGAAAACTTGCACAAGACCTTTGTCTCTTCTTCTTGTAAATGCCTCAAAGACAAATATCCAAGCAGTCTCAACTAATCTTGTTACAGTTCGACAAAGATTGACAGTTTCAAGCTGAATATACAAAAATTAGGGACACATGTTTAGCAGTCCAATCAAAAGGTTCTGAATGTTAACCATTTCAAAGTCAGGAATTTCACCGTGAGGTAGGTCTTGAACAATTGGCAAGTAAATAAGAATGAAAAAAGACAATTTTCCTGAAGATTGGTAGATAAGCCAGCTTTACAGCAAGGAATCCAAAAACTTTCATGAGAAGAGATCCAGATTTTAATTTTTCTCAGGCGATTTTCATTAGAGATAAACTCATCTTTATCGGCTTGCATTTCCATTGCGAACCAAACATATAATCATCAGACGGTTTCAAGCCGTAATTCAAAACACATACTCTTTAAAGTCACACAGAGTGTTTCATACAATAACTTCAGCACATACAATTTCAAGCCCTAAACTCAACATTCATTCATTGAAACTCAGAAACTTTACCAACAGAAAGATCATTCACTGCTTCTAAATTTACAACACGGGTCTCGATCAAACAAGAAACTTTCGCCAAATCAGAAAACTTTATGCACATGGAAGACATTGAGTGCGTCCACAACTGAGAGAAGATGAGACAAAAGATGCAGAGTAGTTCGAAGAGACAGAGACGACAGAAACAGTTTTAAGTACTCAGTGATTCGCCGGTGGGAAAAGGAGGGAATGAGAAGAAAAAAAGTGTCGATCTTTGTTTCGAAGATCAAAACGACGACGTGTACTCTTTTAGATATCGTGAAAAGGAACCGGTTCGGTTTAGGCCCCTTTTGTAAAGAACGTGCAAGACCGGTTCAATTAAAAAATAAATCGACGAATAATAACCGTTAATAGACCCGTGTATGTCAGTTCGCAAAAGAGATTTTCGAGTCGAATTTGAAATACAACCGTTAGGAGACGCGTGTTAATCAAACACAATATACATACATTAGAATAAAGAAAACATTATTCTCCCAAATCATTCGATCTCCAGAAAAACTCTATTGATCTCTCTCTTCTTTGTTTTTCTTTTCTTTAAAAAAATATTCTATAAATCGACTCGTCTAAAATTTGAAGGAACAGCAATCCGTTTACAATCTCTGATTAGTAAGTATTTCGATCTCTGAAAACATGAAATTATTTCGAGTAATTTATTTGATCTTGTTTCCAGGTTTTCTAAACGTTAATTGATGTTGATTAGGGTTTCCTGTTCTCGCCTTAAACCAACCCGACTGTTTGGGGTTTCTCGCTCGTCGTCGAGGTACGTCATCTCTGTCTATGTTAGGGTTTCTTGTAAATTCCTTTTTCTTATCGCGAATTTTGTTTTTAGGGTTTCAGATTTTCCTAATCGTTCAAAGCGTAACTGTTTGCAGTAATCTTGAACACGTTAAGATTCTGTGTTTAATTGGGTTTCCAATTTTGTTAATTGATCGCGAATCCTAATCTTGAACATGTTAGGGTTTCTAAGTTTCATTGTAAATCCTTTTTATGTTTGTACTCATCGTGATCTTGCTTTTGGGTTTCCGATATTCCTATTTTGTTCGAAACCGTAATTGATCTTGTTTAATGCTTTTGGGTGTGCTGTTTCGTTTAAGGGGTGGTTTTGAAACCGTTATTTTTACCAAATTCTCTCGATGCTGAGAACTGTTAGTCACAACTCTATACGTTCCATTAGTAAGTCTGTATAGTTTGTGAAGTTGTTATGTTTTAGTGAATTTGGTTACTAGTTTTGAGGGATTTATGCAATCAGTTCTGATTACATGTAATCTTTATATTGATTGTCACCTTTTTCACACTGTTTCATGTTCTTAGCTTCTTTTGTATTCACTTCTTTCCTTTGTACTTTGATTGATGTCTTCTTTCTTGTAGTTTTTTTACAGGTTTGATGGGATCCAACGTTAGAATAGAGACAAATAGAACAAAACAACAAGATTAGCAGTTGTGGGCGGCTTTGCACTCCTTGGTATGTGTGTTTCTTTATAACTGAAACTCTCTTTTATCCTTATTCCAACAATTCTATAGAAATTTGTGATGAGATAAAACATCCCTTTGTGTGCAGATCCATACTTCACTACATCCAAAGCTTTGTGTTTTCGCTTTCAGGAATCTCCAAATGGTTTCATTCAGCTTTATGTTTTGTTCTGAATCCTTGCACTCTTTATTCCGCAGAAGCAGTTGTCGCTTCAGAGCGAGAAGCTAAGTGATGAACTCCAGCCTTGGTCCAAAGAGTTGTACATGAAAAGGAAGCACTAATTGAACAAAACAAAGTCTTGATGAAGACAAGTATGAGGTAACCATTATCTTGCATTGGTACATTCCTTAGTACACAACTCAACTATATAACAAGTTAACCCCAAAAAACAGGGAAAGAGGCTTCCCTCTGTTGCGTTTTGAATTTGAAATTCTTTTCCTTGCTAAACTATACAGGCAGAAAGAAGAAGAGGCCTTGAACGAAAATCATATGAAGCTAGACACCAAACAGACGCTGGAAATGGAAGATTCAAATGATGAAGCATGTGGGGACACGGTTATGATGAGATGGTCAAGCAGAAAACGAATGACTAGGTGGAGGAGGAAAAGCAGTCTGAGTTAGAAGAGCTAAAGCAATGATGACAAGCAGTCTTGGTTAAAAGAGGTAGAGCAGATTAGCGTGACAGAGAACGTATCTCAAAAAGAACGTTTCTAATGCCTTAGTGTTTGTTACACTTGCATTTTACCATTACGTAGGATTTTATAACAACATGCTTATGAAGAATTTTTACCATTACCCTTGCAGTGACTTTGGTTAAGCTGTGCTCCGAAGCTTGACCTCTCTGTGGGAAACGTCTTTAAGGTATACATCCTCTGTCTGTGCTAGACTGCAGTGACTTTAATAAGACTTTTGTCTGTGCTAGAGTATTTTTTTTGGTTTTTGTTTTTCATATTAAAACCCCAAAAAGATATAGGCAGACACTAATCTAATAGTGTTCTGTTAGATTCATTTTGGGAACATTGTCCCGTTGCTGCCCCTCGAGGAAAGTTATGCCATCACCCTAACAAGATTGTATGGGTTGGTAGTGCATGTCTAAGAAAGGATGTTAAGGGATGGCATATAAAGACCATACGGCTTAATAGAGTAAGGAATCTGTTTTCGATTATAAAGATGGATATGGATTATAACGACCAACAAAGTCTTAAGACAAAAGACTACACATCAAAAACAGATTCCTTACTCTTCTTTACCCACGGCTTACAAGTCTTTAGAGAAAAAGACAAATACAAAGACTTTTTAAGACATGTTGGTTTAAAAGACAAGGATGGTAGTGCATGTCTAAGTAAGGATGTCAGGGGATGGCATATAAAGACCATACGGCTTAATATAGTAAGGAATCTGTTTTCGATTATAAAGATGGATGGATTATAGCGATCAACAAAGTCATAGGACAAAAGACTACAAATCGAAAACAGATTCCTTTACTCTATACCCACGGCTTACAAGTCTTTAGAGAAAATACAGA